ACACACACACGCGTGCGCGCGCACACACACACACACACACACACACACACACACACACACACGCGCGCGCGCACGCGCACACCCAGCCATTTTTGAGGGTGGTGATGAGAAGTACCAGCCCAAGGCCGTGGAGCGCCGCAAGTCCATGATCAGCAGGGCCAAGCTGGACCAGGATGTGGCGCTGGCGCTGGTGAAGCCGGAGCAGCTCTTCAAGCAGTGAGCGGGGGGCAGGGCAGGAGGAGTCTGGAGGAGGGGGGCGGGAAGGGGCACATGCAGGGGTTGGCGTTCGCCGAGGGCAGTGATGGCGTGTGGTGCGTACCAATTGAGAGACTGATGATGCTGATGATGATGATGATGCTGCCGATGCTGATGTGCAGGCTGAGCAACGCTTGCTTCCTCTGCTCGTCACACCTCGCTTGCTGCCCTGCATGAGCTGACAGATCACTGGATGATGCAGCGCTTTGGCTGTGTGCCTTGTGACAGGCAATTGGCAGCCCAGCGGCGACCTTGATCTTCCAAAAGCCAGCATGGAAGACAGAGACAAGACAGAAAGGAGTCACCTGACAACTCGCAGCACCCATCTACGCATGTGCTCGCAATGGTTGGGCAGCAGCTCCCTTGTCTTCATCCCCACCCAACCATGCCGGGGCGTCCTCCTGCCTCGCAACTAAACCAATCAAACAACATTGCAACTGCCAACCAAACAAGGATGTTCGAGCGTCTGGATAGAGACCACTCAGGAGCTCTCTCTCGCGAGGAGGTCACGTTTGCCCTCAGGCGCCTGAGCCCCATGACCAAGGCCCCCGACGTGGAGGCGCTGTTTGACGCGTTTGACCGTGATAAGAACGGCACCCTGGAGGAAGACGACTTCCAGAAGCTGTGCAAGTGAGTTGTGTCCGTTGGTGTCAGTGCCTCCAGATATTACCTGCAGGACGCATGTGAAGCTTGCTAGCGTGTGTGTACTCATCCATGTGCAGTATGGGGCCATTTGCATGGGGTGGTGTGGTGCGTCGAGGGCGACGCAGTGCATGGCAACGTGGCAGAGCTGACCCTTTTGAAATCCGTGCACACTCAATGCCGGCTGGGTTGTGCTCCCATCTTTCGTGTCCTTCGACCCCCCTCCTTGTGCTGCTGCTGCTGCTGCTGCTGCTCCTTGTGCTGCTGCTGATGCTCCTTGTGCTGCTGCTGGTGCTCCTCGTGCTGCTGATGGTGCTCCTCGTGCTGCTTCTGCTGCTGCTACTACTGCATTGCTGTTGCAATCCCTTCTCCACTGACATTATCTCATGTGTTTCAAACTCTTCTGATGCAGAACGCTGTCAATCTCCACCACCAAAGCCAAGTGGTCGGCCATATTCGAGCTGTGTGACGACGACGGCAACGGGAAGCTGACCGCCCCCGAAATCTGCCATAAGCTGTCCGACCTGGGAATGGTGTGCGGGTGCACTTGTAGGGCATGCTTCTGTATCCAGGGGCATTTTCGATGATGGTCGTAGGGGTGCAGCAGGCGAGCGCAGGGGAAGGGGGGAGAATAGCAAAGCCCAGCACGTTGTCACTGTTGGCTTTGCTCACCGACCTTACCGTACAGTAGCCAGCTGGCAGTTTTGAATTCCAGGGTGGCAGGCCAGGCACCAGAGCTTGCAGGGCCTGGGACCGCAAGACCCAGCCCTCGTGCACCTGCGCCTTCCACACGCCTTCGTCGCAACCCTCGCCCTGCCATCAGCCTGCAACCCACTGTGGAATTGAGAACTGCTGGCAGATGAGAACTTGAAAGGTCTTCCTTTGCCAAGGCTGTCAGTGATATCAGGATAAATTCCTTGTCACACCACACGCACAAAGACGAGCACGCCGCAACAACCCCTCTCATCCAACCAACAGCCGCTGGCGGACGACGAGCTGGACGAGCTGTTCCTAGACTGCGACACCGATGGCGACGGCACGTTCTCACGCGACGAGTTCGTGGCGGCCATGACGGCAGACTTCACGACCCTCACCAGCCGCGCAAAGGAGAGCGTGCGCAAGGTCGTGAGGTCACCAGTCGTTGGGCACGTCTAGCAGGTGCCTTGTGAGCGTGGGGAGCCTGCAGGCCCCCCGCAGCCCGGTCAGTGGCCTCTTGCTTGGCTCAAGGTCACGTTGCCGCGAGGCTGCTGCGCTGCGTTGCAGCTCGAGCCTGGAGGAGGCGCATGGTTTGTGGGCTGCCTGATTTGCCGACGTCATTGGTGGGTGTTGCTTCCCGCTGTGGACCCTGCCCAGGCCCCCTCATCACACTTCTCTCAAGGATCCACATTGCATGAAACGGAACCGCACCAGTTGAAAATCGATTACTAAAGTGCAAGCGGGGCCTATGCCTGGTGTGCACACTGATGCGCTGCGCGTGGTGTGCCTTGCAGGCTGCGCATGATTGGCACCCACCACATGCAAGGTGCCTACAATGTCTGCCTGCATTAATTTGTTCCGCATGGTGCCAGGTGCTGCTCTCTGGGGGGAGCTTGCGGCTGAAAGTTGCAATGAAGTTTCAGCTGGACTCCCATTCAATCGCACACGATAAAAGCCCACGTCAACTTGCACGCGGCATGCCCCTGCTACGCCACAGCACCAATTCTGGCGTCAGCCTGTGGGGGCACCTACAACAAACTCCTTTATGCTCAACACCTGCAACACGCAATGCTACCACGCTCACTGAAAGGGTGTGATGCCTGAATGTTGTCAGGACGTATGCTGAACCTTGCCTGCATTTCTGATACCCTCGATTTGAAATGATGGTCATCATGACGGTGGATTATGTGCTTGGTCACGCGAGTCTCAAGCACTCAACGCCACCCATGCATCATTGGAATTGCTGCTGAACCCTTGGGGCCCGACTCCGTAGAAGTTTAACAACTGAATAACACTTGTTGAGTAATGCTTGCTATCTGTCCACAGCACACATGCCAAGATGCATGCCCGGCAAATCAGTGCAACACGTTGCATACATTTAATAGCGCCTGCTGTGGACGCTTGGCAAGAACTGACGCCGACAAGCATGCGATTGGTCGGGGCAAGAGTGGAAACCGCTGGAGGAGACTAAAATACAATGCCCCCTTCAGCTCGCATCGTACGAGATGCGTGCCAGAGCGCAGGTGCTCCAAGGTACAAACAAGGCTGACCAGTTTGAAACCGAGCAAGCTGGAGACAGCAAGAGTTGCAGGCAGCATGCAGCTGAAAACTGTGGTGGCGTGCGCCAAGATGCCATGCAAAAGCAGCTGGAACCCTGTTGTGATGACTAGACCTCAACCCAATACTAGCGGTCTTGGGCGGCTTCGGAACGACTCTGTACACAGCAAGCGCATATGGCCCGGGTTGCCAGCAAACTCTGCCCTCACCACCCTGCCTGCCTACTCTGTATGAGCAACCACCTGCAATGATACAACAGAATTCAGCTGCTCTCAAGCTTGACAAAGTAATGATGATATCCCCCGTGACTATCCTGCCCCTGTCAGGCTGCTTCGCAACGCAGCACACCCAGCCCCTCCCGCTGTCACCAGGTGAATGGTGCACAGCCGGCCGACGCCGACGCCTCAAGCCGCCCCAGCCGGCGGTATGCGGCCGCCTCTGCCCGCGGCGCGCCCTCCCGATGATACAGCACCGGGCACTCCCCGTTCATGCACAGCACGGGCCCCAGCAGCGCGCCCCCGCTGTGGCACGCGCGGCAGGCGGCGGCGGCGCGCGCCCCGGCGATCTCCGAGCGGTTTGCGTCGGCGAGCACCGACGCGTACGCGGCCGTCCAGGCGCCCGCTTTGGCGCGGCAGGCATCGCAGAGGCCCGGGTCCACGGCCGAGGGCCCCGGGGCGCCGCCGGCCCGGGCGCCAAACAGGCCGCCGCCGCCGAGCTGGGGCATCGGCGCACGGCAAGAGAGGCAGCGCTCCTGCTGCTGGAAAAACAGCTTCATGCCTCCCTGCCGCCGCTTCGCGCCGCTGCCGCCGCCGCCAGTGACGCCAGCGGGGCTCCCCAGCGCCGCCGCGCCGCCGCCCGCGCCGGGCGCGGGCCGCTTCCGTGGCGGGGACGCCAGCCCTGCTGCCGCCATGC